CCAAAAATTTTTTTTTTTTTTTTTTTTTTTTTTTTGGCTTACGATTGCATCATATAACATCATATTCTCCTAAATAGTTCTCATAATTGTCATCCATGAAGGCAGCAGCTCACTGTCCTGGTAGGACACAGGCTAGAACACTTGGCTAGATTCTGGTCTAGCCAGAATTGGTGAGCTAAGCTGAGCTGTTTCCTGTCAAAGACTGTAATAGATAGGGTGGCCACAAATATCTGTGTGCAGATACTTTTTTTCCTTTCGTATCCTTTTCCCAGAATGTACTCCCCAAAGTGAGATAACTTCGTCTTATAATCACTTCTTTGACTCTTGTCAAGAACTGCCAAACTGTTCACCAGGAAGCATCATTTATAGTGCCAGGGGTCTATTTCCCCACGACATATTTTTTTAAATGTATTTTTGACGAATGCAAGTGGTCGATTTTATTTTATGTTTCATTTTATGTGTCCTGGCCTGTGTGCGTTCCTCTTGGGTATACGGCTTATTTGGTCATTTGACCAAGGAGATCTGTTTAGTCACTGCATATACTGGAGACTCCTCAGATCAATGCTCCGTAATTTCCTCATCTCATTGATTTTCCTTTAATCTTCGTTCTTCTTTCCTGTGCATACATTTCAAAATTTTATATAATTGAATTTATCCACCTGACATTGATGATTTCCCCTTTCACTTCATTAAACAATCAACGGCCTCCCTGGAAAAAGATTTTCTTTTCCTCACACCTAATGTCCTGCACTTTCCATCTGGACTTGTCCAAAATCTCTCTGGTTCCCATGAACACTCATTGCCCATGATCCTTACATATTACTCCCTTTGGTCACCTCTCAACAGCCCCTGGCTAAACATGCCCACCTCAGTTCCACCGCTGCCACAGCCTATGCAAAAGGCCGGTGGTCACGGCTCACTTCTGATGGGATCCCTCCATGAGATTTTCACCCCTCCGCCCATCCCAGCCCCACTACCGACTTCCCAGGTCTTCCAACCGGTTTGGCCCCTGAGTCCCACACCTGGCCTCTAGGCTTAGGTTTTTCCCCACCCATAATGGCAATATGGACAAATGCCTTCAACCCCTTAGTTCAGCCAAAATTTCTCAAAAGGAATTGTGCCAGAAAACTAAGAGGGGGCTAAAAATAAACTCCAGGACGTGTAAAGACATCAAAAAAGAAAAGATTTTATATCCTACATAGGTCTGGCCTCAGGTTGGCTTGGAGGTGAGGGGTGGTGGAAGTCGGGGGGTAAGACCCAGGGTCTCCCCTTGTCTCACACTCAGAACCCTGTGTTTTAGACTCCAACCCTGCCGGGTTCCATTTTCTAGTAGCACATTCTCTTCACGGACTTAAAGGTAAACGCCTGTTGGCCTCGGCTTGTGTCTATACTTAGTCCCCCACGAGGTCCAGCCCGCACTTCACCGGGGGACGCCATTATCAGAGGAGCCTCAACTTCCCAGCCGAGGCTGGTGGAAGATGCCAGTTATGGCCGGGTTCAAAATCCCAGACCTCTTCTGACTTGGTGCGTCCCGTTCAAGTCAGAGGGGAGGGGGTTCTCCGCTCTCTTCCAGAAAGTACATACCTGACAAACGCTTCAAGCCCTGGGCTTAAGGGACAATTTCTACCCACTTCTCCAAGACTCTCCCTGGGCTACCCCATCAGGAATGGTTTTAAAGAAGAACTCAAATCAGGACTAGCTTACACATCTTGGAAACCTAGACTCTACGGCGGCGGCAGTGGCAGTCACCCCCAGCAAAAGCAAGAAGCATTAATGCCCAGCACCCCTCCAACCCTTCCTCCTCTGCTTCTGAGGGTTATGGCCACGCCACCCCCCTTGGTCCCTATTCCTGCGCACCTGAAGAGGTGGCAGTCACCCCCAGCAAAAGCAAGAAGCATTAATGCCCAGCACCCCTCCAACCCTTCCTCCTCTGCTTCTGAGGGTTATGGCCACGCCACCCCCCTTGGTCCCTATTCCTGCGCCCCTGAAGGGCGGTTTCGCACCTCACCTTGAAAAGTTGCCAACCCCTGCTGTCTGGGAAAATGCCCTCGGCCACCACATCCCTCGGGCCGCCCTGCTTCCCTTCTCTCTACCCACCCCAGTCCCCCCACCCCGAAGTGTCTCTCCAGTCCCAGCCCTTTAACTGTCAGGAGGGCGGACCCGAAAGACATGGATGGTCCCATTACTGAGGGACACAACCAGGTACCTGCCATCCACCATGGTGGTCACCCGGGGCTTTTCCAGGCCGTGATAGGCCGTCAGGAAGTCACCGAGCAGCGACCCCTTCGGATCGAGGATCACCACCTTGTTGACCTCTCGAAGGGTCAGAAAGATGTAGCCCTTCTTATCCACGGACACAGAGCCTGGCTGGCAGCCGTGCAGGCCCGGCCCCCGGTATTCCCCGATCACCTGGCCCAGCCCGTCACAGACCACCAAGCTATTCTGCTGCCAATCTGACCCCACGAAATTGCCCTGGGGGCTGGCGGTCAGGAACACTAGTGCCCGCAGGCCCCGGCTGGCCTTGCCCCCAGGGATAAACCGGGTGGCCAGGCTGCCTTCCATGTTGTACACCTCCACATGGCCTGACACGCTGACGGCCACCCGGTCCCCGCTCGGCATGGCGGCCACGGCGTGGCTGGCCTGGCAGAGGCTGAGCGCCCGGCGCCACTGCACCTCGCCATTGGGGCGGATGAGATAGAGCCGAGCGCCAGCCGAGAAGGCCACGGCGTCCTGCAGGGTGGCCACGCTGCATGGGGAGCAGCCGTCAGGGACGGGCACCGCGCCCTTGTAGTCGCCATTGAGGGAGAAGCGCTTCAGGGCCCTGTTCTGCTCATCTGCCACCAGGATCTCCCGGGAGCCAAAGGGACAGAGCCCGGTGATCCGGGGAGACCGCTTGTCCCCCGGCATCCGCGTGGGGAAGCTGCAGAAAAAGATGGGCCTGGGGAGGAGGCCAGAGCCCTCCAGGTTCGGCCCAGGTGCTGGGCTGGGCTCCCGGGAAACGGACTTGAGCCTGCCTTTGAATTTCCTCTTCTTGTTGGATCTGCCACCCCTTGGGGACTGGGTTCCTCCATCTTCCTGGGGTGTCTGGGCTCTGCCCTCTTTCGGGGTCTGGGCTCCATCTTCTTGGGGAGTCTCGGCTCTCTCCGCCTTTAGGGTCTGGGCTCCATCTTCCTGGGGTGGCTGCGCGCTGTCCTGCTCTGGGGTCTGGCCTCCGTCCCTGCTCTGGGGCTGGGTTTCATCGCCTCCCTGGCTTCTGGTTCCGTCTTTCCCGCTGTCCTTCTGGGGCTGCTGCTCCTCAAAGGAGAGCCTTAGCAGCTGGCGGTTCTTGTCCAGAAGTCCAGGATGGAGCTCCAGCTGGGGCAGCAGGCAGGGGGCTGGCCCAGGCATCCAGGGACAACACTGCAGCTGCTGAAGCCTTTGGGCAATTGCCCCCTCCAGCGAGAGTATCTCGGCCTCCCGACCCAGGCTGAGCACGCGACGGGCAAAGGCCGCCGCCTCCCTGGCCACCTGTGCCCGGCTCTCCAGCTCCCCCAGCCTCTCCCGTGCAGCCTCCTCGGCAGCCTCCACGTGGGCCCGTAGCTGCCCCAGCACCTCCTGCTTCTGGGCCAGGAGGGCCCGGAGGACCCCCTCGGCCGCCTCTTCCACCTGCGTGCCCACCTTGGCTGCCTGCTCCCGCAGACAGGCCAAGGCTTCCTCTTCCGCCAGCCGGGTGGCCTCCAGCTTGGCCAGGTTGCTGTCCATGCCCGCCAGTAGCCCCTCGAGGCCTGGCCTCCGGGCACGCACAGCCTCGGCCAGGGGCAGGCAGGGGTGGTCCAGGTGGGGGTCCAGGCGACACTCCCGGCACAGCAGCTGGGAGCAGGGCTGGCAAAGGAAGCGCAGGGACTCCCCCGGGTGCTGGGGACACTGGGCCGCCTGGCGCTCCCGGGCCTCCTCGTCGTACCACCCTGCCCTGTAGCCCACCAGGTCCACCACTCGGTGGCTGTGGGTCTGCCGAGTGCAGCGGTGCCCATCGGCACAGGCCTGGCACAAGTCGTCGGCGCAGTCCAGGCACCGGGCTGTGGCTGGCCCCCCGGCGCTGGCGCCTCCCATCAGCGGGCACAGTGCACAGGCCGGCTTCCCTGCGCGCAGGTCTCCACCGGCTCGGGCCTTCACCAAATCCAGGAGCCCGTTGACAAAGAAGTTGGTCTTGAAGGCAGCCACGCCCGTGGGCGGCACAGGCACGGACTCACGGCACTCAGGGCATCGGAGGTGGCTGCCCTCGGCCAACTGGGCCAGGCAGTCCTGGCAGTAGGTATGCAGGCAGGGCAACGTTTTGGGCACCCGCAGCTGCTCCAGGCAGATTTTACAGGCTAGGAAGTCGCTGCTCAGGGCCTCCAGCAGGGAGGGTGAGGAGCCCTGGGAAACCATTCTGCAAGTGAGGGGTCGGGGTCAGAGGACAGAGAGCACCTCCGCGGGGGCCCCCACCTGCCCTCTCGCCTCTCTCCCATCCTCAAGCCCCACCAGGTCTGGGGTCTCACCTGAATGGCCAGGAATCTTCTTCCGGTCTCTTGAGATAAAGAGCCGCCTCCCTCCTCCCTGCAGACATTCAGCAAATATGAAAAAGTAGAGGCCGCTTTTGCACGTCAGGCCCTGCGAGATATGACAACACCAAAGAGCACAGCCTTAGAGACCTGCTGGTGTAATGATCGGTGCCCCCCACTGACAGGCCTTGGGGCACATGGGGTGCAAGTCTGGTGTGAATAGATCCTGGGGGTCCTGCTTGGGGTGGGATGCCAGGTGAGGGGAGGGCACAGAGGACCAGCCGAGGGTCTGGGTGGGCAGATGTGCCTTGCCTCCTGGAGGGTGGGGGAGTATGAGGGGCCCCAATTCCCACAGCCCCGTACACCTGCCTCCTAGGCCCTGGCAGCGGCATCACGGGTTATGAGGGCCCCTCTTCCTGCCTCGACTGTCCTGAAAGGACCAGGCAGGAGGATGCCTGAGAGGAAGGGGCCGCCTCGCTCTTTCCTTCCAGTTCCTCAAACTCAGGGTCACCGCGCAGCCTTTGCCCCATCTCCTCCAGCCCTTTTCTTTCAGCCTTTCCTGCTGCAAGAGGCCTCCTGCTTTCCTAGAAGCCTCTGGAGGGTAGGAGTCACATGAGGATCAGCTGTGAATGCCCCCAGCTCCCTGCACCGTGGCTGTGAAATACTTGATAAAGAAACTTGGGGGATTTCCCCCAAACTTCCAGAAAGCAGGGGCTGGAAGGAGAGCTCAGAGAGTGGGCGGGGCCTCCCCCAGGAAGTCTCAGACCTCCGGCCCCGCGGGGGAGGCCTCCCCTCCCCTCCCCTCCCGCTTTCTGGGGCCCTCTCCCCACTCCCTTCCCCTTCCTCCCGCTCTCCCCCTTCCCCCACCCCCTCCAGTTCAGCTGTCCCTTCAATCGCCCTCCAAGCCCCTCTCCTTACCTAGCCGGGGCTCCAGGACCCGGAGTGGGGGCCCCGCGAGGCCCTGGCGCTGCTGTTGCTGGGCTCCTGGAAGAGAAACAAAACTGAAACTAATTGTACTCCTGCAACTTCCGTCCCAGGCCCGGGACACCGACTTGTACAGCCGCAGGCCCCGCCTTCCTCCCTACCCTGCCTGGAGCTCTTCCTCGGGGGCCTCCACCACCAGCAGGGCACAGCCCCCACCAGCAGGCTCCAGGGCTCCGGGGCCCAGGACAGCTTTGGCGGCTGGAGTTGCCGAGGTTGGCTTGTCAGTTTGAGCCTGAGGATTCGTTCAGCCTGCTGAGTGTGTTTGTCGCAAAGGCAGGGCAGATGCCTGAGGATGCGTCCTCTGAGGGAAGAAATGAGAGCTCATAGGTGATTCGGAGGCGTAGGGTAACTAGAGCCCCGTCCTCAGGCCAGGGTTCCATTGCTGCTGCATATCTGCCAATTCAGTCTTAGGTGAGACCCTTCGTACTATAAATCTCTGCTGAGATATGGGAGGGGCTGTGGGAACCAGATAAGGGGCCTCGAACTGAGGAGTCGGCAAGGGCTTCCTGGAGGAGGCGTCACTTGAGATGAGTCAGAGGAGGCGTCACTTGAGATGAGTCAGAAGAGTGCATGGGGGTTAGGGATCACCCGAGAAGAACGCAGGGAAAGGCATTCTAGGAATCGGGAACAGCAAGTCCGAGGGCTCAGAGGAATGAAATACCACGACTCTACTGGGGGATCCAAGTAATTCAGGATGGTTTGTGGGAAAGGGACATGTGAGTGGTAGCAGATGAGGTTACAGAGGGAGAGGCAACGGCCAGATCACAGAGGGCCTTATGTTCTACGTGAAGGGGTCTGAGTTTAATCCAAAAAGCCAAAAGAAACCATTGAAGGATATTTCCCCCAACATCTTCTGAAAATTTTGAAGCACAAAGGAGTTGAGAGGATTGGAACGCACGCTCCTGTACCTACCCCTTAGATTCTACAGTTAACATCTTGCCGTAGTTGATTCGTCACACAGCTACCCATGTATGCATCGCTTTATCCAGTGATGAGATTTCGCGAGGAAACAGAACCGGTGAGAGCTCACTCTGGCAGCGGCCAAGAGAATAGAGGGGGGGCCTGACCATGGGTCCAGGTGAAAAGTGGAGGGCTCTGAACTGACACAGCGCCACTAGGGGCAGAGAGGAGGGTGGAGGATGGGAGCCTCACGTGTGAGCAGCCGCTACAGGTGAAAGAAGCCGTGGGTCTTGTGACTGTCCCTGTGGAGGGAGGTGCCGGAAGGAGGGTAGGAAGTCCTTCCGGTGTTGCAGGTCTGGAGGTCAGGACGGAGAGCTTGGCTGCTGCTAACCCGGCTTATGACTTTTCTAGACTTTTGCAAATGTATCTTTGGTTCTGACGAAGTCACCCAACAGTGTCCAAAGTGAGAAGGGCAGGGCCGAGATGGCGCTATGTGGAACAAAGACATTTAAGGGCAGGTTGGGGAGGAGCTGGGGCGCGAAGGAGGCTGAGAGGTAGATTGAAATCCAAGCAAGAGTAGGTCCCAGGAGCCGGGGGTGGAGAATGCTGTATTTCCAGAAGGAGGAGGTGGTCAGCGCAGTTGAATGCTACAGACCCGACCGTCAGCCAAGATGAGCACAGAAAAATGTATTGGCACATGTGTGTCCCTAAGTGTGTGCACACATCTGCGCATGTGTAAGGCTCCGTGTATGTTTGTCTGTGCGTATCCAAGGACGATTTTCTGGATGCCTGCTACAGTCAGACAGCATGCCATGTGCTGTGCAATAGACAGAGATCAACAAGATAGGTTCCCCGCCCACGAGCAGTTTATAATCACATAGGAGACGTGAGATCTGTACATGTTGCCATAGGAAACAGACAAATGTCATATTAAGATGTCAAAGTAATCATCACAATGGCTTCCTTTTCCTGGGCATTTACTATGAGCTTGGCATGGGGTGCTGTAAACATAACCTGATTTAATCCTCACAGTAATGTCGTAAGATAGGTACCATTTTTGCCCCATTTTACAGATGAGGAAACTGAGTTATAGAGGGAATAAGTCACCCAAGGTCACATAAAGCGCTACGGCAACACAGAGAGAAAGTATGATTTCTCCTGGAATGGTGGTGTTGTGGTGGTGTGGGAATCAGAAAGGCCACGCGAAAGGGGTGGCATTACCATGCCTGCCCTACCCCGCCTCCCCAAACATTGAACAATTGCTTAAAGTGCCTACAGTGTGGCAGGCCCCAGGGAGACAGTTTCTCCTCCCTGAGAACAGGCTTCCAAGGCAAGGGATAACTCAGCTACAGCCAAGTGGTAAGTGTTACCGTGGAGACCCGGGGAGGAGGAGGAGTTCCTGCCAGATGCTGGGGATCCTCGAGATGCCTCTCCTGCTGGATGTTCTGATACCGCTGGAGTGCAGGCAGGTGGAGGGAAGTGGCAGGAGCTGGGAACGGGCAGGCAGAACAAACTTCAAAATTTCCTGTTGAGAATCCTGTAAGGCCTTAAGGTAACGGGGAGCCATTATAGAATTTTTATTAGGCAAGTTTGGACTTTGTTGTGCAGCTACTTGGGGGGTGGGGGCAAGCAAAGGTGTTTAATCTCAATTTATACAAATAAGCATAATTTAAAATAAAATTTGAAACACTCATCATTGTAACAAAATAACTTTTTTCCTATGTGTATTTCCTTTGGTCTCTGTCCACATGAGTGTTTTACACAATTCTCTCTCTCTCTCTCTCTCTGTATATATATATATATATATATATATATATATTTGTACATATTTGACATACTGTATTTATAGTATGCACATTTTTTTTTTTTTTTTGCGGTACGCGGGCCTCTCACTGTTGTGGCCTCTCCCGTTGCAGAGCACAGGCTCCGGACGCACAGGCTCAGCGGCCATGGCTCACGGGCCCAGCCGCTCCGCGGCATGTGGGATCTTCCGGGACCGGGGCACGAACCCGTGTCCCCTGCATCGGCAAGCGGACTCTCAACCACTGCGCCACCAGGGAAGCCCAGTATGCACATACTTTTTGTCTACTTGTCGATGTGCCTTTCAGGACTGGGAAATTCTCCTGAAGTATTTTGTTGATTCTCTCCCCCTCCGTTTTCTCTGTTTCCCTGTCTGGAACTTCCATCATTCAGAAGTTGCATCTCCCGGATGGTCCTCTGATTTTATCTTTTCTCTTATTTTTCATTTCTTTCTCTTTTTGTACTACTTTCTGGGAGATTTCTCAACTTGAACTTTCAATCCTTGTGTTTTTTCAAATCTGCTGTCCCAGTGTTAATTTATGAGTTCCCTTTTTTTTGTACCCTATTTGTACCAGTATCTTCTTACCTCTCTGAGGATGTAAACGATAGTGTTGTTATTGTTGTTGTTGTTATTGGTGGTGGTGGTGGTGGTGGTGGTGGTGGTGTGTATGTGTGTGTGTGTGTGAGTTTTCTTCATCTTGCACAGTATCTGTTACCTCCAAGTTATGGTTTCCTTCCTCCCTCCTTCCCTCCCTTCCTTCCTCTTTAGATGACTGTAGTATTTATTGTTTTATATTTTATTTTGTTTATTTTAAAAATTGTTTTTATATTTTAAAATTTGCTTTCTGAGGTATAATTTACATACAATGAAAATCACTAATTTAAATGTAGAGCTGGGCTTCCCTGGTGGCGCAGTGGTTAAGAATCCGCCCGCCAATGCAGGGAACACGGGTTCGAGCCCCGGTCTGGGAAGATCCCACATGCTGCAGAGCAACTAAGCCCATGCGCCACAACTACTGAGCCTGTGCTCTAGAGCCCGCGAGCCACAACTACTGAGCCCACATGCCACAACTACTGAAGCTCGCATGCCTACAGCCCATGCTCCGCAACAAGAGAAGCCACCACATTGAGAAGCCCGCACACCGCAACGAAGAGTAGCCCCCGCTCGCCACAACTAGAGAAAGCCTGTGTGCAGCAACGAAGACCCAACGCAGCCAAAAATAATAAACAAAATAAATAAATTTATTAAAAAAATAATAAATGTAGAGCTCAATGAGTTTTGACAATGTATATAGTCAAATAATTACCAACATAATCATGCTATACAGTAGTACAATATAAAAATAAGGAAATTGACATTGGCACAATACTGTGAACTCAA